ATTTAATAATATACAAAAATATATAGTAATATAATAATATAATAATATATATGTGTTATGTGTGTGTGTGTTTGTCATTATCTATTTGTGTCACCATGTGTAAAGTTGAAAATACAAACACTCCCATTAGATGACTTTCATTTTTAATACATCATTACCTCGTAAACGAAGAATTTGGTTGAGCTACATTTGTGTGTACTGATTTAGTTGCAAAACATTGTCACCTAAAAGTCCGTCAACACAAGCTCTACACACAATCTAATAGTGCACCAGATTCGAAACATACCTCGTAAACCTGATCAAACATCGAGAATGTCACATTCCGGACAGCCCCAGTCATCTTTTGATGCGTGTGTGAGTGTTCTGTTGAACATCCTGTCAGACACAACTTCGCATTTTCCATATACGAGTGTGTGGGAAGACTACTAGCCACCTTGGACGGGCGGATAAAGCTCACGACGGGGTCTGAGCTGAGCGACGGCGATCTGCTTCTGGGCACGGTAGGCGAGAGGTAGCTTTTGTCGCATAGACTTGTACTGTCTGCCTCTAAAGTCTTCCTATTGGGTGATTTAAATTGAATATTCATCGCAGCGGTATGCTTGCTGCTCGAACTGTTTTCTATCGACAGGCTCGGTAATAAAGCAGCTAAATCTATTTCATTATCCCAGCTCTCAACCCCTTCTATACTACTAGTCTGTGTGTCTGCTCCTATGCTCGAATTCGAGTGCACGTTGCCAAGCATCCGTGCGTCGCCTGCAATAGATACGCCCGTGAGTGAGTCTCCACTGCTAACTGCAAATATAGGTGCAGAAGGGTACTTCAGCCTCTGCAGCGGTTTGTGTGGCTGCTTCATGTCCTGCGGCATGTATAATTTATCAGTAAGCTGAGTTCTATCGCTTGTTTGTGCATAGCTAGACTTCATATCCTGCTCTCTCTCCTCCTCCGACTGCCCCGCTGTTGTCGTGCGTGCTGCGGTATCATTCGGGGTCATTGGCAACTTATCCCCATTGTACAGAGCATTCGATTGATTCTCAGGTACAATTCCTGACGCTATCACACGCGCTCCTCCTACTTGCGCTAGATCGTGTAGCTGGCTCAGTTTCCTACCTACAGGTGCGGGTCGCGTATCTCCCACGCCACCCGACGATGTGGCTTTATTCTTGTCTATATGTATGTTTGTGATTGTATCTATGTTTCCGGGAGTGTTCCGCTTAAGTTCATCCATCTCATCAGCCGCATGTATGTGCGAGCTTCTCTGTGTGCCCGGACTTATATCACAATATACTCCACCTTGACTTGTGTCCCTCAGTTTACTGTCTTGTACCTTGACCCCCCTGAAGCCAGTATTGGGTGTCACTTTCTGGTGAACTACATGCTCAAAATTGGTTGGAACCGAATTGGTTTGTTGTAGTCGGGAAGATATATATCTGGATTCCAAACCAGCGCCCTTCTTATTCATAGCGCTGGTTGGCCCTATGCCTCTACCCATACCACTACCTACCACTTTACCATTCAGTAGATTGGTAGACACACGTCTCGCGAGCAATGTATGTGTGCTATCTGCCTGTGCTATAGACGAGATGTAGTCCTTGTGCTGTCTTTTAAGGGCATTTGGCGTAGTGTCACCGGACAATATACCTCTACTTATATTTACTTCCCCTGGTGTTGGTTGTTGTATTGAGTTGGACATAGTTATGAGATGACACGGTATACACAGCTCTCACCGTCTGTCGGTATTAATCGTACTTATTCCTGAAATCAAGTGCGTGTTGTCATTCAGGCGATCATTTAACATGCATCTAACTCACTTTTTATCCGTACTTCTTTCACAAAATCCAACAGACCAGCTAGAACGCAGCCATCAAAAACCCGTTGGTACCTGATTTCGGAACTTTCGTGCGCTTACAACCCACTTGTAATATGTGTGTGTGTAGCATGCATTCAGCCCATCCGTTAGTGATAGCTCTTACATACCAAACCCGTGTACTCTATCTAACCAAGATCTCTTGATGCGCGCGACTGTATTATAATAGCTTGTATGCAAATAATAGTAATCTTGGGTGGCTATGTATGAAATCAAACCAAACTACTTTCGTGTACGGCCCTGAATAATAAATTTAAGTATTTTAAAAGTGCATATCTGTGGGGAGTATGACTGACTGTGCGCAGTGCGGCTGGGTATACTGTACCATTTTTGTTATAAAAAAAAGCCTTGCAGCCTCTCAGGCTAAATATGTAGTCCACCACCAGTACATCAAAATAATCCTCCATATTTACACCCTGTTCCTTTATTTTAGGCAGCAAAGGGATTGAGGTATTTAGAACATTATTGAATAAAATATATATGGTACCAAATTATTTAGCCTGTCGTTTACTGTGGATCTATGCAACCAGCAGTATAGGGTGCAACATGTTCCTGATTGATACATTCAGGTATGGTAAAATACTGAATATAATATATTATAGAACAGTCCGTATTTGTTATTTGATTCAGCTATTCTGTTCTAAATGTATAGAGTGAGTGAATAGAAACCTTCATTTAAAAAAATTCTAAATGAACGACTACTCCTTATTGGAATGAGAGATTATTTGTAGAATTGTTATACCAATTGAAATCGAGAATTCCAAGGATCTGAACACCTAAAAATAAAGCATAAAACCTTTGCGAAATACTATAATAAATATGCTATATAAACGTACTCTTAGAGCTCT